AAGCCAGAGTGCATCTTTGCAAATACCAGAACTATAAAAGCTTTTGAAGTGTTTCTTAAAGCTTACTGTATTCCCTCTGATGTGATTTTGTGCCGATTCTGTAATGTCCCCTTAAAACACAGGTTAGAGTCTTTCCAGCATAAATGCTCTCAGCTAGTTGAGCCCAAACATATCACATTCCATTTACTTTCTGCTTCTTATGCTCTGCTGGGTCTGTAAGGAATGTATTCTTAAGAGCCAATAATATGGGCTAGGAGGAGATTTGCAGGATACTGGAAGACCAAGAGGACATGGATAGCTTCAGAGTAGGTTGTTTATTGACCCTTCTCACTAGCTGTTGCTCCGCATGCAAAGGCACAGTGCTAGACGACCCTGCACATAGCAGGGGGGTTGAAACCTGATGATCATTGTGGTCCTTTTCAATCCAGCCCAATCTAGAATTCCCTGATTCTATGATTCTGTAATTCTATGATCTTCTTAAACTTCTAGATTGTTGTTCTCAAACTGCTTTTGATCAATGATGAAAGCAAAGCAACAGGCCTTTAGACTTTGTCAGCCCACAGAGGCAGCCTGTGTAAAAAGGAGCAGAAGCCCCAGTATGAATAGTATCCTGCTCGCATGAAATCGTAGTTCCAATTCTGCAAGGTGGTTTAATAGGCTAGAGCACACATGGTTAAAAGAAAGTAGGTGCAGGTCTGCTCTGCAGAACAAAGGAGGCATTAGGTTTGTCTGTATATGTTTGTATATCCAATCCTTCTGACTAAGTACAAGACCATGCCTGGTTATGGTGCAGGACAAAGGAAGAAAATGGGGAGGGGAAAAAAAGGCAGCTAAGTGTAACTGCAGCTGAAAGCCTTTTCCCTCAGATACTAAATTACATACAGGACAAGGAGCCAACAGGGCTTCACTTCCCCAGTATACTTTAGTATAGCTGACTTTGGAATTAAACTTTTCATCTTACAAGTGACAATGCACTCTGGCTCAGGTCCAGCAAATCAGTTAAGCGTGTGCTTCATTTTAAACACCTTTTAGTCTCATTAACTAGTAAGAGGATTTGGATTTTTGATGAAACAATGACATAATCTTTATCGTGACTGGAAAGGTAATTCCTTCTTTCAACGTGAAAACTTTCAGGAAAAGAGATACACAAACATCACACAGTATAAGAGTGGAATTAGCCCTGATTGGAGCTCAAATCACATCTTCAAGACATTGTGTTTATGATTTGTTTGTTGGTCAAACTGTTGCAAACTTCTGCTCTGTCTAGCTCTCTGGGAGTTACTGTTCACAGATTTCAAGTCCGGTTTTGTTCATAAGAATAAATAACTGAGAAAATTCACATGGTATCTCTGTGTTCCTAGTTGTTTGAGCCTATCCATCCATATGCAAAGGTCAGACCAGTTCAGCAGCACTTGTTTATTACAAGTGCCTCTGCAGCCTGCTCAAAGAGCCAACAGGCAAAAGGCAAAGGAAGAAAAACGTTTGTGCCCCTGTGCTGGCACCTGCAAATAGTACATTGTAACACACTACTGCAGCCCTTAACCTGGCTCTATTTCCCATCTTGGATTCCACTAGCAGCTTCTTTCTGTATGTTTAGGTATATATACACCTCTGAAATGTTTCCTACTTCAGCTGATACAGCAACATCAGGGCTTAAGTCTGGCTTCGCTTATTTATTGAGCTTAAGGTGTGATTTTGTACTGTTAACCATTAGCTAGCAGATAACACCACTTCATCAACACTTCAACAGTGAATTCATAGTTAGGTAAAGCCACAGGAAGACTATAATCATTTAAATACTGCAGTCTTCTAATTTAGATGTGATAAATGAACAGTAGAAAACCTTTCATGAATCTTACCTTTTGTGTATTTTTGTCATTCCATTATTTAAGTTGTTCTTGGCCAAATCCAACTCCAAACAGGCACACAAATGTTCACACATTCACAGATGAAAACAATGACTTGCAAAAGAATGAACACAAATTAATCTTGCAAAAATATTACAAAAAATATCAGAAGTGCACTGTAGATGAGCTTAATTTAATGTGCAACCTTTTCACATCAATTTTATGGTCTAACATCAAGTAAAATACATATGGTCCAAGAATTGGTGAATTTTTCATGATTAGGAAACTGCTAGAATTAACTATTTTTTAAATAAGGCTTTGCCATATTCTGTCTCACATTACACACTTTAAATACTCTGAAAAATCTTGAAAGTGCTGAATTTTGTGCATAGTAAACTATTACATTTTCTTCCAGGTGGTGCAGTGATGCTTTTGGTTTATGAATACGTTTATGCATGGCTTCAGGACACAGTTGATCCCAAGTAGTGCTTCTGAAAATTTTACTCCTTAAAACTATATGCATTCTAAAATACATTTTAATAAAGTGAAACTGATTCTCAGCTGTTACGGTTTTGAATGTACTCAGATTATTGGTGGTACAAGAAAATATTCAAGTAGATACCTGTCTGAAAATGTGTAAAGTAAATAATCAAATTGATATTTGTAATTTCTTTGTCCATGTCAAGAGAAAACATAAAAGAGACATGAGGTAGTTTTTCAAGGACAAACTGAAAATTCTGCACACTGAATTGTACTGTGCAGACAGTACTTTTAAAAGTGCAGCTGAAATGATAAAATAATGACCTTCAGAGCATTTTAAAAAGAAAACTGGAATAATTGCTTAGGACCAGATACTGAGATCATGTAAAATGACAGCTTGGGATTAAGAACAAGAGCCAAACTCTAGAAATTCATGCGTCAAAATTGGGTCCTGTTTCTATTCCAGTTGTACCATGTTTGGTACAATTTCAGCAGCAGTGGCAGAATTGTTTCTTAAGTTGTTGAGAGTTAGGACAGACATAGTACAGCAAGGCTAGCCACAGCCTTAGAAATAAACATAGTATTAAATATCCTACTTGTTCATAAGCCATATATATCATATAAAGCTCACGCAGGTTACAGAAGATACTAAACAAAATTACTCTAACCAAGTTAGTTTCAGATACAAAGCAATTATGGAAATCATACAAGAATTGCACAAATAACAAGGAAATATTTTTGTATGTACAGGATCTTACTGCAATTTTTTCATCCACTTTCATATCCTAAAAATCCTCAGGGTATCTTGATTATCTTTTTGCCTCTGTCACCACCACAAGGGAGAAGAACGGTGTTCAGTTAACCTCTCTTTTCTCTTTATTTGACAACAGCAATTTCTCATTCCTATGTTACTTTGTAGCTAAAATCAATAAAATTAGCTCTGTTGCAGTTTATAATTTTAAGGCAAATGTTCCCTATCAGCACTTAGCCAAAGAGAAAATGCTACTATGATCATTTCAAAAGTGAAAAGCAAAATGCTTCATAATTAGTCTTTTATTAATTTAGGGCATTCAAAATATAAAAAATAGAAGACTTTAAACATACTGTATGTACATATAGCCTTAGGTTTTACATCCTTTCCAATGTGATTTTTTTTCCATGTAATAGCTCACCCTGATCTTTGATGAAAAAAGAGAGCCATTTGAAAGAAAAACATACACACACACACACACACACACAAAAAAAAAAAAAAAAAAAAAAAAAAAAAAAAAAAAAAAAAAAAACCATGGCATTCATTTAGAAAACAAACCAATGGGTATACCATTTTTTTAATGCCTTTTCCAGGCTAGTCCTGCCTGGTGTAATATGGTGTCAGTGTATGGGAACTACTGAGTCACAACCTGAACCTCTGATTGATCGCCTGAGGCGAGCTATGAGTCAGCCAGAGGAGCACAGCTGAAGGCAATTCACCTGTGCTGCCGGAAGGGGTGGAGCCTGGCTGCACCCCTCCTAGACCTATTTAAGAGCTGGCTGCCACTGGGAAAGGATCTTGTCTGGAGATCTCTCCTTCTGGTGTTTTGTGGTGAGCCCAGTATAAGGGTAAGCTTTCCATTTATTCTCTCTTGTTATCACAGTCTACTTCACCTAACTCTCTTGTTTATTTTGTGATTGTAGCATCTTGATATCTATTGATTATACATGTCAGATTGAGTTGTACCACAGGACTATGCAAACACAGTGAGGCTGTCAATGGGAGTATTAGGCTTGCTGATTTTTTTGAAAGCATTTAAACATTTGATGCTCTAGAAATGAAGCCTAGCCTTTTCGTACCAAAAACTGAAGTTCTGCGCTCACACAGTTTGCACATCTCCCAAATTAACCCCTTCAGCTAAGTGGTTTCACTCCAGATTTGTACCCTTGTATCTAACAGCAGCATTGGATCCTTTTTATGGTTTGAAAAACAATTTTTTTTTTTTTTTTAATCATAAAATGGCTTAAAGTTCTATGGGTACTAAGCTAGCATACTGTGGTTTTCAGTTTACCAGTGAGTATAAGCAGTAAGGAAAATCCTTAGGCAAAAAAGTATTCTGTATCATATGTTCATATATATATTTAAAAAAAAAAATTTGACCAAAAAATACCTACAAGCCAATCATCAAGGGCCAAGGTCAGGCCCCTTCATTCATGCTGACCAATGCTTCCCACACAGCCCTGCTGATTTTCCACATGGAGTCAGGTATTATTTACACCAGGCAAATGCATGAAGAGCTACACTAGAGGAAGCATGGCTCATGATGCTGTATTCCCAAGCAAGGATTAATTGATGTCATGTCTTGGCTTGGCTTTAAAAATTAGCCCAGTTAAGATGAATACAAGATTATGCAAGCTAAGGTTCTGTTTCTCTAAGTATCTTCTAAAACATGCCAATAATTCATGGAAATCTCAGAAGACTTCTATTCCAGAAATTGCTTTGTTGCATTCTGTTACAGACTTGTGAATCCTTGGAACTCAAGAAGCTGTGATTTGGAAGACCCCTCTTCCTTTACCTTTTTATGTCTTCTTCCTTTGATGTGTGTTGTACTGTATGGGTAACAATCACTACACTTGCTCAATAATTTTATAAACCAGAAAAAAATTGATTGAAAGCTGAAGTCCCATTGTCAACTAAATCATTTATTGGCATGATCTTTTTCCTTCATTTTAATTCTCATTTTATTTTTAGTTAAGAGCTCATCTGGAAATAAACCTAGTTCCTTTTTTGTGGTTTTTGTTTTGTTTTGTTCGTTGTTTTTATTTTTTGCATAGAACTTCATCTTATTTCAGCTACGACTGTATAAAGACAGAACGAATTTAGTCACCTCACTAACAGCATGGCGGTGTAGAAATGCACTGTGTGCACATTTCGTTGCATGTGGTGATTTCCAACGAATGGAGTACTTTTTAAAATGTTCTACTGAAAGGCAATGGCTTAAGCATCTCATTAAAGCTAACCAGCTGTCGAATTCCTTGGCTATACTGAGGCCTGAGAATATAGGATCATATCCGAGATCAGATCTTTCTTTCCTAAGGGCCATGATACAATACCTGTGTTCTTTATAGAAATACTGTTCAGTTAAATATTTTTTAATGCACAAAGCAAAGGTGGCTGCAGCCAGTTGTATACATCTGTATTTTAGTGGATTTACCATGTGCAGCATTTGTACTGGTTACTTCTATTGTTAGGAAACTTTGCCCATGGCCATTTCAGTGGTGAGACTCAGAAATCCACAAAGTGAGGACTGTATTTCAAGAGAGGACAGTATATTTCACCGTCCCTGAATTAATATTTAATGTGGTATGCAGACAGAGCAATATTTGAAGAATGATGTTTTCTCCTTGGTTTTAACCATCTCTGAAGTAATTTAATATATTGCACATTTATAAAAAAAAAAAAAAAAAATCACAATATATTAATATTATATGAAATCTTACACCAATCTTAGTTTTTCTTTTCAAATTCATATTCTGAACATACCTACAGCATGTGGAAAGCGTTCTGGAATAATATTCAGATCTTTATTATTGCCCAAAGAAAACAGGTAAATCTTCAAAGATCAGAACGTTAGCCCTCTTGGGATTAAAGTCAAGAAGTTTAAAGCAAAATAACTGGGACAGAGTACTTGCCACTGGTTACAGAAATCTAGAAAGGGAAGTCATTAATATTAAATATCTGTGTTTGTAGCACCACCACCAGTATATCTATAAGGGAAAAAAATGCTTCAGAACAACAATGTAAACCTTACCAAGAACCTTATTTTACATTCATTAAAGCAGAAATTAAAGATAACTTCCTCTTTAAAAAAAAAGTTACAGCATAATCTTGGGGCCAAAAATTCTGGACATGGGTGAGCTGACAATGACAGTACAATTCTGTTTCACAGTGGTTTTGCTAACTTACATGGCTTTATAAGCATCTTTGCACATTTCACAATAACAGCATTTTTTCTCTCCAGTTTTCAGCTCTGTTCAGATATTTCCCACCCATTTCTGTTTGTGTTTTTAACACAGAATCGGTGTTTTGTGAACCTGGAAGGCCTAGAGCATCTGGGGAAAATTACTTGGCAGGATTTTGGCCTTTGAATCTTCTGCTAAAGAAATAACTGTATTTTGTGAGATGTTGAATTCTACACTGTAGACCGAAGGGGGGGGGGGGGGGGGAGGGGGGGAGGGGGGGAGAGAGAGAGAGAAAAGAGGGGGGAGGGGGGGGGGGGAGAGAGAGAAAAGAGGGGGGAAAAAAAAAAAAGGGGGGGGGGAAACCTGAAGAAAATGAAGAAAGTGCACGGAGAAATAAAAACAAATGCTGTTGAAAGCCTATATTTACAAATGGATAAAAATACAAACATATGACTGCCTGACGATGATGAAATGCCAGAAGAATCTGAAAGCCACACATTGTCTTGGTTCTGTATCTGACTATCAAAACTCAACAAAATGACAAAAAAAGTGATCTTAATAGCAGTGGATCACATAACCTTATTTGTTCTCTAGAGTCAGGTTATTGGCAAATACCTTTGATTTAACCACCTTTGCTGATTTGAGGCGTGGCAGAATTTCCTGTGATTATTTTTCTTTATTGATTTCTACACAAATCTTAACAACAATTGCACATTTAACAACTCTGTGGTGATTAAGAATAAATATGTGTGGTTTGACCAGAGGAGTGAGACAAGTTTCCACAGGCCCTTTGAGGGACACAAGATCTTTACTTAGAGAGTGCAAGGGCATCAGCATGCTCCCCTCTACTTCTGATGCGGCCTTCAGCTCTTTCAGTCCCGAAAAGTCCTGCAGGAGGCAAGTCAGGAAAAGAAAGACCGGGTTCCGCCAACATGAGGTGAGCAGTCTGTGAGCCCGGTGCTGGGGACAATTGGCCTGGAGCAGCTCCTGCATCAGAGAGCGGAGGCCGTGACTGAGTGGCTGCCTTCCCTGGCTGTCTGCATGCCCTTGAAGGCCAGCGGGGCAGGGAGGTCACAGCCATGAGGGGAGAGCGGCGTGCCCGCAGCGTGCTGCCAACCATGGCCTGCCATGTAGCTGGAGGGAGCTGCGCTGTATGGCATGTAGGGCGACACTTGAGCCGACGTGGCGTAGGGAGACATGGCTGGTGCTGATACGAAGCTTCCAACTGCTGGGAGGCCATTGTGTGCCTGAAAGGAAAGGGAGACACGTTTCTATGGGAGACATTTTTAGACATAAAGGAAAAATTCTTCGCATTGAGTTTGGTCAGGCACTGAAACAGATTGCCCAGAGAGGATATGGATGCCCCATCCCTGGAGGTGTTCAGTGCCAGGTTGAATGGGACCTTGAGCTGCCAGATCTAAGCATCCCTGCTTATGGCAGGGAATTGGAGCCAGATATCTTTAATGTCCCTTCCGACTGAGTTTATGACTTCAGGACAAAGCCTATCTGCCATAAGGAAAGCTGCTGAGGCTTTGTGCAGGAGCCAGGATCAGTGATGTCCATGTGACAACTGGACACAGATACCTGGGAGAGCCACTTGTCATCATTCTCCTGGATGTCCACAGTGCAAAGGTGCCTTTGTGTTTTGCTTTTAAGACCAGCTGTCTGCATCAGACCCACACACCTCTCCTAGGAGCCTATCCATGGCCATAACTATCTGCGTAAGGACACATAAGGAACAAACGTTGAGAGCACAAGGAACAGCATGTATTATTCTGTGATTCTGTTATGAATTGATATTTGGGCAGTCCTTTGTGGAGCTAGGAATTGAACTCAATGATCCTTGTGTGTCCCTTCCAACTCCTGATATTCTGATGATTCAATGAGTGTGACCTCTTTGTATTTTGCCCTGCAATGCCAGGGATTCCTGCAGCCCAATGGTTGCATCTATTGCTGATGTTCAAGACGTAATGCTACTGCTATCTGTGATGGATCCATCACAGCACCCCACCTGCTCCAGCCCCAGCAGGCTCAGCCCTGAGCTACAACAGTCAGGCATGGGCACAAATCCTGACATAACACTCCCCATAGTGAAAGGTAACAAGTAGCTGGGGAGTTGAAGTATCTGAAACTCTTTGGTAACTATTTGCACAGAGCATGAGTCAGAACTGTAGTATTGTTACTGATGATGTCTTTTAAAATCTGTTTTCTAGGTGTCTCTAATATAACATTGCAAATGTTCTTTGCTCACAGCTTCTCGTGGTTTCAATAGCACTTCTGTGCACAAAGCAATTACAGGGCTAGGTCTTTTCCTGCAAGCTATTTTCTTAGGTCCTACTGTGGGTAGGGAGAAGGGTTTCTATTTAAATAAGGGAGAGTCCTTCAGTCTGCTGGGATAGGATTTCACAATGAATGACTCCTTATTTAAATAAAAAAGTTCAGCGTTTTACTTCACACCCTGTAAATGCTTCTTCAGCAGAACAGGAACAAAACAGGATCATTTATCTTGCTTAGGTTTTAATTTGTGTAGTGTTTATGTTTTAGTATCTGTGGTGGTTTTTTGGTTTTTTTTTGTTTTTTTGGTTTTTTTGTTTTTGTTTTTTTACCAAAAAGGTTTTCTGAGTATGAAAGAATGGATATTGATTCAGTAGATCATGTAATGTCTACCAATTTTTCAAAGATTTAATCACCTTGTAAAACTGGAACTACTCTGGACAGTGCAGAGCTGAAAAGCAAAACAGACTTTTGTTGCTGCTGAAATTTCAGGCACTGTTAACATTTCACTTGATCAATCTCTGTCCAAATTGCACCTGTTCAAATTTCCAGTATTTATCCCCATAAATGGCACCGTCCTAGTTTCAGGTTTATGTTTCCTACCATTGTACTCAGTTCCACTGATTGGACAGTCTTCTCATTGCTGCTTGGGAAAACAAGCAGCAATCCTGCTGTAGTCAATATAAATGTATGCAACAATCTAAAACAGCAGGAGACAGTGAGGGGATTCCAGCCATAAGTCTCAAATAGGGGTATTAATTAGTACAAAACATACAGCTGCAGCAGCAACATAATTGTCATTCCAAATCCATAAACACTTTGTTGAGGCTGCACGCACCTTATTCTTTTGAAAATCCAAATATGCAACCTGACCTTCAACTCCAATTACATGTCTCCTACTGTGTCTCAGAATTACACTTTAGCCTCGGTTCTAAATATCGGCATTTTCAGCAATACTAATTAATGCAGACCCTCAAATAATTGCTCTGTAAGTTACTATGCTTCTTAAATCACATGGAAAATTATTTCACTGAATGTATTGAAGGCAAAAACCATGACAGGTCCCAAAAAAGCTGCTGCTCCCCAAGCTCCATGCCGCTTCCACCATGTAGAAGTATGAAACAAGAAAAGAGAATCTCTCTGATTTTCCCAACAGTAACAAAAAGCTTTTCGTGAGGCCAGTAGAGGCAGATTGTAACACAGGCATCAAGGCCCACAGCCTAATAGAATCCTGCAGGAAGAATGACTGCTGAGGCCTGGAAGGAAACCTGGAGCCAGTCCCTGGGGAGTTCCATTACTGTTGTGGCAATATGGGGCAGGCAAACTTCCAGCCCGGAGGCTCAGAAGAGGTTCTTTGGATGGTCATGTGCTCCCCCAGGGCTTGCCCATTCTCAAGCAGGTTGGTGCCCAGCAGCAGGCTAGAGGCTGGAAGTCCTGTTTTAAGTAAGGTGCTTCAGGCATGAATGGTGATGCCCTATGAATACTTGGTTTTGCTTTTATAAGACTTCTCCTAAGCTACAGAGGAGGCACATGTCCTTCCATCCTCATGCCTTGCCACTGCTCCCCACTAAAACATGGCTCTGGGAAAAGCCAGCCTTCTCCTTTGCTGTAGAGAAGATAAAATGTTTTCCATATGCTGTATAGACCACTGTGTTGTAGGATGCTCTCTAACCACTGGTGCTTCCTTCTAAAACTCTTTAAAAAGACAGATGCTCTAACATCTCATCTGAGTAGAATAAGTACTCATTCTTAGGCTATGAATGCATCCTTCAAAGCTGTGTGCAGTGGTGCATTATGCCAAGCTGAAATATCACTTGATGCGATTGCTTTGCCACACACCTGTCCCCATCCCACTGTCACAGGCCAAGAGTCTGTTGGTGGGAAAGGTAACTTCCAGCCCTCAAGAAATTACTTCCTGCTATGTACAAACCTAAACTCTGCATCCAGGGGAAAAAATAATAAAAAAAAAAAGTTTCTAGAAATGATGACTATGTCTATATATGTAAATAAAATAGATCAGGACCAATTCTTCAACACAGGATGATCAGCATTGTACATACACAGCCCCACAGCTCAGCTTCCTCTGACCAGAAACAGGGTGGCCTCATCCACAGCCTTTGGGAGGGCGCTCTGGCCCATGCCCCGCCTGATCCTGTGCTGGGGATTATGCTTTTCTTAACCTACTGCCATGAACTGATGTTTTCATGCTGTCTAATGTTTTGAATGTGAGAAAGATCTTGCCCTAAACATTTGGTGCAGAACATGGAGACACATATACAGGGAATTCTGGGGACCTGTCAGGTACTTGAAAGCTCTTGTCTTTTCCTCACTGAATAAATTAATCCCTTGTATTTTAGTGCCAGTGCTACCAAGATTTGAAGACTGAGTGATGTGAATGTCAATAGGTGTCTGAGAAAAGCAGGCAGCACTGGGGTGAGCCAGAGCAGTTTCCACACAGAGCAGGGTTCTGCTTCAGTGGGAGATCGTGCCTTGCTGCAAAGCAGCTCCTATAGTCCCAATTCAAAGCTGAGGGGATAAAAGAAACCTCACCTTACAGACTTAAAACTGTGCCACTCAGAAAGAAATCACTGATTTTCATCTCTGACTTTCATCACTGAGGGACTTGATGCAATGATTTTAACTACAAGGACTTTTCTGCTAAACAGCTGTAGATAGAGCAGGGTATCAGAAGGGTTGAATCTTGTCTGTCAATCCAGCACTTTTTACAAACATGACAGTCACTTAAAATAAGTGGAGAGGATTAATTTCCATGAGCCTTTACATAGTGGATGAATAATTCATCCTGCAGTATTTCAGTCAGGGGAAGTGAGCACCAAAATCCAAACATTCATAATTATGAGTGTGAGAACCCCATGGTTATTATAGATTTTTAAAGCTGTTGGAACTTGTTTTAAATGAAGAGCCTCTTGAACCTTGGTTTTAAGTTTTATAAACATTTTTTTCCTTAATTCAAACCATTGATTTTCAAGGGAAACAATTTAAAAACAAATAGACTAACATGTAGTTCTTACTGAGGGAGAACGTCTCCTGTGCCAATGATCAGAGCTCCTGCTTGACTGGCTGGCTTCTACAGAGAGCAGAGGGAAACAATTTCTCTGCATTGCTGCCTCTACTGATGTTTGGAAGCAACTGATGGAATAACTGCTTCCAAATTTCAGGGCTGTGTTGTCAACCTAGAACATGTGATTTGTGAATTCGGTGAAACGTGTTCTCACAAGGGTACCTGCAAACAACAGCTGAGTAAGGTTCAGTCTCGTGCTGTCCTACTGAGTTACCATCATACATGCCAGCACAAGTAAAAGGATTATCCAGGAGGAATCAAAGCCACAGAGACTTAAAGTGTCACTTTATGTGATATAAAATGATGATGCTGTGTGCATTTTCACCAGGGAAGGAGTTGACTCATTAGTTTTTATAGAAGCACTTGTAGTTTTAGACACTCTAAGTACGGTGCATTGCTTTCGGTCTGTTTGGGATTTGGGACATAAAGTGGGGGATAGTCTTTGGAACAAATAACTTCCATCAGCTGTTTAGATTCCTACAAGTGAAAACCTAAGATCACCATCCACAACTCAGTTTCTGCTGTGCAGCTTATGCTGGTGTAACACGCCATACAGCTCAGCCTTGGCCTCTTCTTTCCTGCATTTCAGGTCACAAAATTTCTGCACAGGCTTCCCAATTAATCCATGTCAGACAAGCAATGTGACTTTTTTTTCTGCCTTGGCCATGTTAATAGCAGAAGAACACTAGCTAGACTCCACTTTCAGGCATAAATTCAACTTACATCCAGTAACTGAGCTATACTGTTTTATTTCACCCCTTTTTCTGCTCTTCTTTCTGAGTGTTTTGCTTGCTATGTATGTTCTCTTGAGTATCAAAATCAGATCCTCTCCATGTGATCCCTTCATGTGTAGCTTCTAAGTGTTTCCAAAAATGACACAGAGTTATCTGCAGTTTCTCAGAAATAGCATTCAAAACTGCAAATCTGCATTTAGGTTAATTATTATTGATTGCAATCATACAAAGAATTTGATTCCAAGTTTACACGGTACCAATGAGAGATGGATGCCACATCAGTTTCACAGTTTGACTCTGAAGTAGACAGTTGATTCTGTCCACAAGGATGTAGATGATTCTTCTTATGTTGAAGTAATTGTTCCCAATGGTTTGAGTCTGTCCATTGTAATGTAACTGCTACAGTATTTTTTGTAGGGGTAATGTATTATGTAGATGAAGCATTTGTTTTGTGGAAGCATTTTAAATGCTTAGGAAGCATTTCTTGAGAAATTACACTGGCTTCAAGACCAAACTAGCTGATCTGACAGCTCTGATGAGCTTGGACATGACTCAGCCCAAGCTCCATTGTCAGAGCAGCAGAAGCTCTGCCCATGCCATTGCTTCAGGAATGCATTTCTGGTTGCTGCTTTGTGTTTCTAACAGTTCCTTGGGTGGAAGGAAGCCTCCCTGCCATTGGATCAGTGAACTCAGCAACTGCTTTTATCCTCCAGCCCAGGGCCTTTCCCCAAAAGCAAATGAAACAGTTCCATGGAGGTGTGAGCACAGTGCTGTGAACAGCAGCTCCCAGCACAGAGTGGCCTTGGCTACAGAGCATCACAGACACTATCACAGCTCATTTCTCAAAACAAAAAGCTTTAACAATTCCTGGAATTCTTGAATGTCCTGAAAACACAGGCACAAGTAGCTACTGGAGGAGCCATTTTTTTCCACAGCAAGTGAAAACCATAGCAGGAAGCTGAGCTGAGTATCTCATCCTTCAATCAGAAGAGCAGATGATTTTAAAAACCCAGAAGATAGCTGATGTCCTTTGTGACGTGCACATCATCAGTCAAAAAAGTGATAGTAGGGAGACTAGGAGCAATCAGTGCAAACTGAAAGCATAAAGGAAGCAAATATGCTAAGTCTCCCTTTTTAATTAGAGGTTAAATGTGATTTAAACATCAGAGCAACACACGGGATCCCGTGGGAAGAGTAAACAAATTTTCAAAGTAAAACATTATCAGCAAGCATGCAATGGAAATCTCATTTTAGAAAACAGCATTACCTAAAAATGTAAGAATACCCCTATGTTACTTTTAAGCTTTTAAAATAAAATATTTTGGTGCATACTGTCGTTTATGAAATTAGAGCTAAATTTTGAAACTGCTATTCAGTACGTCAGCATCAGTGAGAAAAATGACATGGTCCTAAAAGAACTCATTCAAAATCAGCATCCTCCTAAAATTAACGTCCTACAAAGGTAAGTCAGAGTTACCAAAAAAATAAACACTACAGAAGTGAGCAGTGATTTCATTTATGCAATTTATTATCTTTGTATTATGAAACTTTTGAAGAAAAATGTAATAAAATTGCTAAGATGGCAAGATGTATTGATAACCCAGTCAGAGCTGATCCTGCAAACTACTTTTGCTGTCTTTTCCTTATATTGGAAATTTTTGTGCAAAAGTATGTTCATAGCTCATGTTAGACCATGTCCATATTCTTATATGATGACCTTCTTTTACTGAATATGTTTCCACTTTCATTTTCTGTTAATGGAAGCAGAAGAATAGAATGGACAGATTCTGAAAAGTGAAAACATCTTCATTAAATGATTTTGAAGTCTGAAAAGCCTTGAAGTGGGAACATTTTGTAGGTAGGATACTACTTTGAAACATGTGCCTTAATTTTTGATAAGATCTGGAGAGGTAATACAAAGAAATTGAGGAGCTTCTAAAATAGCACATGGGCAAGATGTTTGCAGTCAGTCTGTCTTGCAGCTGAGCTGGGTTGATTCCCAGAACATTAGGCTTTGAAAAATAGGAAGAAAACTTTCAAGGCTGGGAATTACAGGATCTCTTTCTTTCTATGTTGTATAAAGCAGTGCTGATATTCTATTAAAAAACACAGTTAAAATAGAAAATATGCAGCCTCAAGTGCTTTGCAACATTGCAAACATACTCAGTTATCCGATTCTATACCATCTCTCTTACACTTAAGCTTTTATCTTTGCATCTGTTTTCCCCGTTATTAAATTCAATAGTCCTTGCATTACTCTACACCACATGAGCAAATCATGCTACTTCTAAAATAAAGTTCATCTGCTTAATAATGAGCAGATCCTATTCCCTGTGCTTAATATGTTTTTTTATTAACTTAAAGTTCCTTCCTTTACTTGTGGGCATCCCCAGCTGCACTGAATAACATGAAAATCAGATAGGATCAATTGAGTGTTTTAACTGAAGCTACGACATGCATCAAGATCACTCTTAATTATATTTTCCTATCAAATTTTGAATCTTAGCCTCTTCAGGGAAATAAAAACACTTTTTTGGAAATAGTATTAACTGGAATTTACACACAATCACCAATGCTTTCCTAAAGGAGTCATGGTCATTTTACATCTTTTTCAAAACCAACTACAACAGAAACAAAAGAAAAAAAATAAAAAACGTTTTTCACAGAGACTTAAACAGGGAAAAACAATCTGAGAAATACGCTACAAAAATAGCAGAGGGAAGGAGAGATGGGAGAAAAAAGGCTGAGACAAGGTGGACTGAGGGAAAAAGGGATACTCTCCAAGGGAAAAGGGTGAGCAAGCATTTTAGATGCTTGCTCAGAAAAGAATTATTTTAGGTGATTTTCACTGTGAAATTATTTCTATCACATAGGAGGCATCAGGCACATACTAATAAGTCAGCCTAAAACATTTCCCAAATTTGAGTATTGTGAAAGTGCTATAGGTGCACTGAATGGTTGTTTTCCATTCACACTCCACTTTAGGAAGAACGTGTAAATGGAACTCACCACCTTTCCAATGAAAGTGTTGCCTCTTAGGTTATTTTCTATTATTTAATAAACTTCACAATTGTATTTACTCTGAGTACAAAGTTTGATTTCAATTGTAAAAATGAAACTTTAACTTCCTTTAGAGAGATACACTGTCCTTAGTAGACAAAAGGGAAGCTCAGGAAAAGTCATGCCTTGAGAACAAAGTCCCTGGAGTAGAACTAGCAACACGATCACATTGTTTTGAAACAGATTCTCACAGTAATTCACCCTAGTATTTTGGCAAAATCTGGAGATTTGCAGGGCAATTATGGGCATTAGACAAGTAAGCACAATGAATGGAATAGGCATTTGTTCTTCCTACAGTGATGTTTTAAACTATGATGTATTAGCAAAAATCTGTACGAAAAAATGCCTTCTTTGTACAGTATATGTAACAATACATTGCAATTTAAATATAGCTTTAATTAAATGAAACTGAAGTTGATGGGAAGAGATGTTACGAGCACGGAGACATCAAAGGGATTTTTGCTGGTTAAAAGTTGGTAAATATGGGGTCACACTGGTCATACCCTCACTTTGTCCTCTTTGGGGAAAACCAAAACTGCAGTCCCCTTTGTCTAACCAAGTCCTGATGCTGTGAAGGCAATTACTGAGAAGCTGTCAAGTTAGGATGGGTGAAATCAGAACCCACTGAATGGACATCATTATGATTAGGCGTATACACAATCCCTAAAAGCTGACAAACTGCCACAACAGATGAACAAACTGTACAGCCTTTATCTACCTTTCACTCTCCTGCAAGCACCTGAAGACTGAAGATCAAGTCCTGTTTGATCTCCTTGCCCCAGCACTGTTCCCTGGCTGTGACAGGCATCTCCCACCACTTTCGCCTTCCACGCCATGGGCCTCTAAGTCACAGCGGAGTTCCTGGCTGCTTGGGGCCTTTGGAGCAAAGGATGCTCAGTGTGCAGTCCAAGTATCATTGTACCATTCACTCACCTCTCTGACTTTCTTTATTAGTTTCATCCAGGTGGAGTGCCCTGTAGCCATGTGGGTTGGTGGGCAGGGCACTGGGTTTTGGCCGTGGAAGCAGGTGGCCAGTAAGAGGCAGGTCTCACAAATGGGGTTCGAATGGGGTGCCATCCAGATCACCTGGGAAGGAATCGGGTGCATGTAGTGGGATCAGCTCATGCCCCTCACCCACAACATGCATTGACATGGATGCCTAGACCTTGAGCAAGCCATCTTAGTGATTGTATTACAATAACAGGCACTGGTCTGGAGACAAGACAGAACTGGAGAGTCTCCAAGCCAAGGTCTGAGCCCTTGCAGACAGGAAATCTGCTTACAATTCTGTTAGGTACTATGGTAAGGAAGCCAAAATGCCACTCTCTTTAACAGCATCCTGTCCTCTGGGTATGGGTTGGGAGCTGGTAGTTTAAACCTTTATCATAATGAATTTTGCATGGTCCCGGAATAGGAGTTCAGTTCCCTGAGTCCTGGTTTAGAATATAAGATGCCAAATAAGCAATCTGCTAATGAAATTTTGCAATTAAAAATCTGTTTAGGAAGGTCATGTCATTTAAAGTTAAGTTTGCATCTCACTCCCAAAGAAGTAACTATATGTTGCAGGTTCTAAGCAGTGCAGATAAAAACAATTACAGATGCTTTTGCCACCACATTCACTGTTCATCCACAGTCAATATTCAGGAACTTAAATATTTACATTGCTTACATTTTCTGTGTAAATAATTGCCAAGAATTGCACCTACAATTATTTGCAATCACTTGCCCCTAAAATGGAGCCTTCATTTTTACAGTGCAAGCAACGTGGAGATCAGGATTACCTCATCAGAATGCAGCCAAAGAACAGAACAAGGAGTGTCATCCCAGTGAGCTGAGAAGTCAAAATGGGAACAGCTGAGGAAGTTTTGTTGAGACAAAGGTGAAAGGTTTGCTACTTTGGGGTCCACCTAATATATCAGAGAAAGATTGCCCAACTCACATTCACAAGCCCCTCATAACTAGGAGTGTTCTCAGCATCTCTGCTAGGTTTGGAGTCAGACCTCCAAACAGGTCACATTTTTCTCCAGTAAACTCACAACAACCACTTGCCCTCAGATCCCAGTTACAAACATTTTCCATTTAGTGAGCATCAGCTCCCTTTGACAGCATGCTTGTCTGCTTCCTGCAATACACACATATTTCAGAAAATAATTCTGAAAAAGATATGTTTCCAAAGCTATTTGCATCTCAACAGATCAGACAGGCATGCATCAGACCTCTTGTATTTTCATACACATGCAAATATCAGCTGCAGTTTTTTCACTTTACACATCCCTTACATTAGTCCAGAAAGGCACAAGCGTGAGATGGATGAAAACTGAATTAGGAATATGAGGAATATTTATTAAATGACTTCACTTCAAATACAGGGTACAATTAGATTTGTATCCCAATGATTTCAGACAGTATTTTTTCCTTATTACAGCCATTACTACAAGCTGTTTAATGCATAAAAGTTCTCAGGATATTCATCCTTTGTGTTAGTAATATGGTTACACATAGAAGCCTTACCCCCAACACACAATGAAAGTGCCTCTCAGTGTGAATACTGGTATGTAACTGAGATCCTTACAAAATTTTTACAACCTGAAACTGTCAAGCTCTCAGAAAACACTATTTTCCTTTTCAGTTTCACAATTCAGTTTCACAATTGCACTTTTTGCAAAGCTGTATGATAAGAGAAATATGCAAAAATACTGCAGTGAGAAAATATAATGTGGCTCCTTACACAAGGACAGTAACTTGGGGTATCAGGTAATTAGAAGTGAATACAAACTTCACAAGGCATTGCTGTGACTCCCTATGCAGTTTTGATGCAGAATGATAGTTCTCCAGGCAGTTCTCCAACTCCCCAGCCCAAACACCTAAGAATATCTCAAAGACCCCAGTGACACCAGGAAATTAAAAACACAGTGAAAAGTGTTCTACATTCAGCCATTCAGTTTCATGTTAAACAAGTGGGACTACATATTGCCAAGGCCAAAATTTGAAGTTTTCCTCCCTTTTTTGTCCAATCCTCTCTGAAACAGAATTCACACTCATATGTATGTAAGGGGTAAAATGCAACCAACCACCCACACTACTCTTGGATCAGCCCTGGATGAGTTGAATGGGAGCCCCCCCCCAAGAACACAAGGCTGCAGTGCCCTGTGATAAAACAAACGGGTATCCATTGGAAGGAGGGAGCAGATCAATATAGTTTGAAAGTATGAGTCTGTTCTTTAGGTTCAATTCTTCTAGTCTTGTTCATGCAGAGAAAACATCCAAGGGCTTTCTTGAGAGGTAAAATATTATCTTCCATGACTGAGATGGGAGGACAAGTCCTTCACCCACCCAGTAGCTATGGAGTTCTTTGCAAGTTGCAGGCACTTGAATCTGCATCATGAATGCTGTCAATGCTTAAAATACAGTGCTGATATTAGGTAGGAACAGCAGAATCCAATATAGGTCCCACAAGTTTATTCATTAATGTGTTTCAGAGCACATTCCCTCTGCTCCTTTCTCTGCTTCTTTTATGTAACTGGAAGACCTCAGTGAAACAAATGCACTAGGTTCTGTGTTGCTCTGCTCCTGTTGTATGCTTCAGTGTCTTGTTTGTACCGGCATAACACTGGAGCAAGCACTATAGAGCAATCACCTCTCTTCTGCAGGGGACATCCTCTTTCTGCCTTCGCAAGATCCAGCATTTGCAATGAGCTTTGCACAGAGAAGATGAAAATTCTGTTTACCCTGAGCTCCAAACAGAGAGCCTATTGCAGTGTAATTCTTCTGGCATGAAAATTGCCTCTGCACTTGCTCCCTTTCTCACCACTACAGCTACCTGATTGCTGGATCTGCATAAATGAGCCAATGTTCTCTCCTGTCCTCTGCTCACTTGTTTCCATCTAAAGCAATACATGTGGTTAAAAAAAAAAAAAAAAAAAAAAAAAAAAAAAAAAAAACCAACAACCACCATGTAAAGATCCAAGAATGTATTTTGCTGAGACCGAATTGCCATGGAACAGCAGCCCAGACTTACTGAGCTTCAGCAAACAGGCAGCTAAGGCAGTTCTACATGCAGCAAGATTTTGGCTCAGTGTGCACATTTGGCCAAAAAAAAAAATATATATATATATATATATATATAAATAAATAAAAAGGAAATCACAAAAAATAAAGTATAAAAACCCCGCTTTTATATCCTTATTTGACATGGATTTTCTTTAAATATATCCTGAATTAGCAAGGTACTGAACTTGTGACATGCAAACCAACTAATGCACAGATGAATGAAATTGCTGGTAAGCAAGCTGAACACAGCATGAACAGACTGGTCTGTAGTGCAGAAAAGCCCATTGATATATATTATTAAGGGGAAAAAGTGGGGGAAATCTCATCTGTACCTTCTTTCAGTGAGCAAAGATCAGAAAATGACCTTTTGGATAAATACTTTTTAGATTTTCCATCCTTTTAAACTCTGGACAATATATTTTTATCAATGAATTCCACTTTATTAATTGCAATTTTCTCCATTTTTAGATAGTGAATATCTTTAGATTACATTTATCAGATTATCTTTCAGATTGAACAAAACTTCAAAATAGAACTGGTATTGACAATAGAGCAGTAATATATTATGAAGACGAAAGTATAAATGCTGAAAGAGTGAAAAAAGGAAATAAAAATATTTTCCAACACCAGCACTGAAAATCATGCAATGTACATAGCATTGTTCCTCAGTGTCCCATTGGGGTAAATAAGATTTCATAGGTGTATTCTCCTTGAGCCTGATCCTGTGGCTATTTCAGCAGAATCAATGAATGGCCCACACTGGCACCTATGACAACGCAGCCCTGGCACAGCTGGCCTCAGCAGAAGATATTTCCATAATTTTCAGTAAGATTGCTAATAGTTATTTGTTTCCTGATAAAATTGTGGCAGGGTAAATATTAACTCTAAGTCCGATTTTATCTACACAATCATGGCTATAACATTCTGCAGATTTTTCACAATATGCAATGAACAAAATAATAACACGATAATAGAAAAAATACAATGCAAAACAAATAGAAGAGCAGTACGGGCATCACATTTTTGCAAGGCAGAATATGTAATACAGTGGTTGTTCACTATGGTGTGTCCCATTCTACCTTGGTCACTACAAGTAGCCGCACAATTTGTACTCAGCAGCTCAGAAGGGTTTGATTCAGCTCCTCTCAGCACCAAACCAATCACAGAGTCCAAAAGCAGACTCAAAACTCAGAACACGTGTCCCAGACCTCTGCCCTTGATGGGCAGCACACTAAAAGCACACAAAAAAAGCACACTTCTTTAAAATATTCTTTGAATTCATTACAAATATGACAAAGGAATCACAGAAGGCAACGGGTCTCAGAAGCCCATCTTGTTTTGAAATGTTTTCCATTGGATGGAAGAAGTACAATCAGGTTTTCTCTGGATGTGTTTTTCTGAAACCTGCACTGCCCAGCTAGCAACAGTTGACTCTTTAAAAGCTTTTTCCCTGGCATAGGATTTGATTAGCAGGCACAAAGATTTACACAGAGATTTGTTAAGTTGCAGTTATACTGCGTTGTAATAAAATTATTGACAGTTCGCAGTCTGCTTAAGCAGTTAAAAAAGCTTTACTAGGAAGCAGATACACCTCATTTTCGAATTCTTCCCCTACCTCCCAAGCGCCGCGCACAGCCCGCAGCGCGGCCACCAGGGCAGCAGTGGGACGCGCCGAAAACAGCAGGGGCACAGAGCGAAGGAAAGCACCGAGCCGACAGCGGGAGCTCAGCCCCGGGAAGGGGCCACAGCCCCAGGGCTAAGCTCTGAGGCCCCACGCACCCCCCCTCCCGGCCGGCCCTCTCCCTTTACCTGGCTGTACTTGGCCTCCTGTTCCAGGGAGCTCTTCTCCAGCCCGTTCACGGCGTGCTGGGCTGCAGGGGGGAAGCTGCTCCGGCTCAGGCTGCTCCACTCCTCCACCTTGGGGCTGGAGTACGAAGAGGTGTCATTCACTGCGGGAAACACGGGGGCAAAGGATTAGAGTTAGACTTAAGGGGCAGCTGTCCCTCACCCTCTGCACAACGCTGAGCCCCCGCATCCTCCCTGGAGGGAGAGGCGGCTGTGCCTCCCATCCTTATGAGCAGCCGGTTAGAAGAGCATCGTGCCACCAAGGCCCGGAGCTGACTCAGCCCGGTGCTTGGCCTCCCTGGAGTCTGCCAGAGAGACTGACAGGAATCGCCACCTATGCGTGACTGTGGACAAACAGCAGCCCGCAGTAGAAGGAAAGCTGGAGCAGCCGCGTAACGCACGGGGTTCTAAATACGTTTAGGACCAAAACTAAGAAAAAGTAAACAAACTACCAAAAAAAAAAAAAAAAGAAAGAAAGAAAGAACGAAAACAGAAAAAAAAAAAAAAAAAAAAAAAAAAAAAAAAAAAGGGGGGGGGGGGAAGAGATTGAGAGAACGAGGGAAAGATCTTAAAAGGAAGAAAATAAAAGAAAAACAAACGGAAAGTGTGGAAAGAGGGGGAAAGTGCCCTATCCTTTACGTGCAGCAGCCGTGGCACGGAGACCCGGGCTGTGCGTGCGCTCTGCAGGCGGCTGTCCCCGGGCGCCACGGTTCGCCCACGGCCCCCCCCCCCGGCGGAGCAGCATGCGGGGCCGCACCCGCCCTGCGAGCGGCTCTGAGCAGCCAACCTAGGGCTGGCTTGAGAAATTGAGCCCTCTCGATAAGTGCCCTTTTCTGCTGATCTCACACTTTCCCATGAATAGGGGCTTCCTTTCCGTGTCAGCGAGGTCAGTTTATCCTATAAATCAAGGGCGAACAGCCCCCATCGGCGGCAGCGGCCGCACGGCGCTGGGAAGGGGGTGGGGGGAGAGGGGGGAAGGTTACACCGCGGAAAGACGCGTGCGGCTCCGCAGTGAGAAACGGGAAGAGGCAAGAGGCGGCCGTGAGGGCAGAGGCCTGTACCTGCGTGGGCAGGAATACGAGGGCTCGCTACACAATTCTGACTCGAGTGTGATAGTACACAGTATGCATTTTTGTAATGCTTACTGCCAGCATCACCTCCCCCTGGCCCAGAGCAGGCGCTGCCAGGAGGATGTTGTTACGGCCGACTCAGACACATCTGTTTGTGACAGCGCTGAGGACAGAAGCAGTTCGTAAAGCAAAGGGCGAATAAGTGCAAAAACACTATTCGTGCATACTTCTAAATAGAAGAGTTGTGTGCATATGCATTGCTTGGGGAAAAAAAAAAAAAAAAACTGTTTTCTCAAAGTCGGTATAAGATAATTACTCTGCAGTGCATGAAGGATCACTTCGCATTAGAAGTGCTTCTGGAAGCGGACTGCCACCGTTAAGAAACGCAATGAGAGCAAAAATCCCCCTCCCTCCCCTGTCCGCTCACTGGGAGGGCAGAGTGGGACGCGGGGAGCGCTGGAGGCGGTGGTTCTTCCCGACTGTTGCTGGAACTACAGCCGCCGCCTGGCACCAACCGACATGGAAAAAATGTCCCTTTCTCGGCGGCAAAGCGCACTGAATAGCCGGGGAACGCGGTGCTGTTCCCAGACGGAAAAACAGAAAGAAGGTGGAAGGGATACAGGGAGCAAACCTTGGGGTCGTTTTCCCGGACCACCGCTTCGAAGGAAAATACAGCATCAGAATTAAGGCAATTAGGTGACATTTGAACTTCCTGACTGAGAGCATTTGGCCTGATTGCGAAAAGCAGAGAGAATGGACTGCTCGGTAACGCCGAGGTGGCGCCTACGGCCCGACGGAAGCAGCGAACGCCCCAGCCGCACCGGCAACGGCACCGAGCTCAGCCCGGGCCGCTCCCTGCTGTCGCATTTGATACAGCTCGGCCCTAGTGCCACCAGGGACGGTCGATGTTTGCCATCACGCCCGCAGCACCTGGACCTTGGCTGTATCCGAATCACAGGGCACATCCCGCCGAAGCTCAGTGCTCGGCTTGAGTTGGGGCGCCGCGGAGCTCGCGACCCTTGGGCCCCCTCCTCACCTTGGTCCGTGATGGAGCGGATGCCCAGGATGTCCGTCACCGAGTGGGATGAGGGCCAGGTGCGGGGCATGGCCATGGTTCCAGGAATGGCAGGCACTCCTGGCGGCGTGGGCACCTTTGCTCCCGCGGCAGCGATGGGGCTGGGGTAGGAGTAGATGTGGTTGTAGGGCAAGGTGGGCTGCGGGGGTGGCTGGTGCTGCTTGTAGGACTCGTAGTGGCCCTGCTGGGACAGGTTCCCAATCTTGTTGCGGAGGATGCGGCTGATGGAGCTGACCGACGGTACGTTGTACTTGTCGCACACGCCATCGGCCAGCAGGCGATCCCGGATCTCCCAGGCGAAGATGCCCGGATCCCTTTGTTTGTAGGTCCGGATATGTTTAACCACTGTGGGGGTGGTGACTCGCGGCTTGCTGCCTCCGATAGCCCCCGGTAGGATGGAGCCGGTCTCGTTGTAGCGAGCCAGGATTTTGCTGACACAGCCGTGGGAAACGCGGAGCTGGCGGCTGATGTCGCACGGCCTGATCCCCAGCTGCGCCAGTTCCACAATCCGTAGCCGGATGGCGTTGGGCAGAGGCCTCCCGTTGACGAAAACCCCCCCGAGCTGGTTCACCTCCCCGAAGGCGGGTTCTGCAAGCAAGCACACACACGGCCGTCGGACACTGCGCGGTACTCGGGAGGGCATCCGCGAGCCGATGCCACTGCACGAGGTCCGCCCTGACACGGTGTTCCTAAATAGTGGAATATCACCGGAATTAAAAAGAAGGGGAAAAAAAAAAAAAAAAAAAAGCTAGAAAAGAAGAAGAAAAAACAACAAGAAGAAGAAAAGCACCAGAAAAAAAACCGCGGCAACAAATGTAGGATTTCTCCAGACCGTGCACTGAGCATATTCCAAGAAAGCACATTCCAGAGATGAAAAAATTGAGATCGCTCTGACAGAAAGTTCAGCTCTATTGCCACAGGAAGAGGAACACGAAGAAAAGAAAAAGAAAAGAAAGAGAAAAGAAAAACGTTTTCAGAGACGTGGGGGAGGGGGAGGAAGGAAAAGTAGTTGAGGAAATTCTTTCAAATCAGGGAGAGGCGGTGGCATAGCTGCTCCTGCAGCACCGCCCGCGCCCCGCGTTGTACGGAGCAGTTCTGGGGCCGCTCGCGCCTACCAGCACGATTACAGCCTGCTGTAAAACAAACGTGCTAAAACGTTAACTGCTCCGATCGGTGTCAGGAATAATATACAACTTGCCACAGGCTGCGGGCATCCACTCTGCTGCGATCCTGCCTCACAGTCGCATAATAACATTAATAATAAACCGAGCAGTCATTAGCTTTTCCTCCTCCCCGCTCTACCCCTCGGCGCGCTGTCCCGACGTGTAGAAACACGAGTAAAGTCAATAAGGAGCCGCGGTGGCACATGACGGCACGAGCACGGGGCTCCCTCTCTGTTGACAGCCCCCTGCAGATCCCAGCACTCACCCATTCCTCCGAGTGGGACACCTCCGGGGCCGTTCTAAATCCCCACCGCAGCCCTCAACTCCCGACCTCCTGCTACCCCAACCGCACTCGCCCGTCGGGCTCCCTGCTTGCCGCCGAGGAGATAGCAGGGGGGCGAGGAAAAAAGGACTACGAAGAAATCTACTTCCCGGCGAGAGAGCCTTGAGTTCTGCATTTCAACCTCAGGGCAACGTGGGCAGGGCCGGGCTGGGCTGGGAGCCGCAGCCCCCCGCTCCCGAGCCCGCCCCCGGGGGCGGCCCGGCGGCCCTGCAGCCCCACCAGTGGCCGCAGGAGATGACGGACAGCGCGGGACCGGCGGCCCTTCCGCTGCCTCTCGCGGACGTGCTCAGCACCTGGTCCCTACCACAACAGCAACTCCCGCGTAATACCTGCCAGGCGGTAAGCCGCACGCAAAGAGAAATTAGCGCAATTAGAGAGCGGAGCCGGCGCTGTGCTGGGCACCGCTGTGAGGGGCGTCGGGGCCAGGCCCGGCGCACCGCGGACTCCCCCGCCCCAGAGAGCGGCCGGGTGGAAACCGGACGGTGCCTGGGAACGCACACGACTCTCTTGTCTTTGCTCTGCTGATTTGGCAGAGTAGGGCTTTGTTTTCAGCCCTCTTTACAGTAAAGCACTTTTTGACTACTGAACATTTCAAGGGTGGTGCAGGAGAGGCAAAAGGCGGCGGTTACGTTATTTTTTGTGGAAGCCACGAAGCTGTCGGGAATTCAGCTGCAGCCTGGGGACGAGACGAGCCGGGGTATCTCCCCGCGTTTTGATTTAATCGACGAGCCAAAAGATACATTGCGCTGAACTGCTCGTCCTGCAGCCCATTCCGGCTTTATCAAAGACAATGCTTCGTATTAACAGTTAAAAGAAAAACAGGCTGGTAGGAATTAAAGCGTGCGTGGGTCACGGCGTGTTTGGTTTGGCAGTGGGTGCTCTGGTCCCCCCCTATGTGCTTCTCTCACGCATCCAACGTCCGTCGCAAATGACGGGCTTCTTAACCTCGACCAAGAAAATACCTCAATTTTTTAAACTTTTTTTTCTCTGAGTGATTTTGTTTGTTTGTTTTCATAGACTCCCAAAGACCCAGATCCTGTAAAGGGAGTAAAACCTGAACGGGAATAATACGGTGACGGCACTGCACGGAATATCGGCGGGTGAAATATGGATCTGACGTCTCTGGTGCGTATGAACGCTCTTTGTTATGTGAAATACTTGTAAGAGAATTTAAATGTTAAAAAAAAAAAAAATCGAGCTAGTTTGCAGAGCCTTCGCATATCTCACGGTCAGAAACAGGGCGGATGCTACAGGGATCTCTCAGAAATTCGTGGTGCGTTGCATACGTTTTGTGGAGGAAAAAAGATGACCGCGGTTATTTCGCACCTCTCCACGTTTGTTCAGAATATCCGCTGTTCACTGTCGGGTATTCAACTCAACCATTTCCTACGGCAGTTCTGTGTTTGTTTCAGGAACACGAACGGCATCTTCGGAACACCACATGAGTAAATGGTGCGGTTCCAAAAGCCAGATCCATCACCTTTACCGAGGGAGTCCCTCCGCACTGACACACGCACACAACCAATTCAACCGCCCGAAAGCGATTGCGTTCTTCATTCGCTGCAGCCAGAGCTCTCCTCGGTGCGGTGACCTGACCCGCCGCGGCTGGTTTTAGGGCAGGAGACACTGAATTAGCTGGACACGGATCCAAAATTTAATTAAATTAATTACTTAATTAAACAAAGGAGAGCAGTGCTTGTTCGTGAGCCTGCAGAGCTGCATTAGCATCATGCCCTCCCCGAAAAACAGCCGCCGGGAGCCCCGGCCGCTCCCTCGCCCGCTGCCGCCCGGCCCTGGCCCCATTACCTCCCACCGCCCTCTCCCAGCGCCCGACGGTGTGAAGCCGAGGCCGAGCTCCACGCATCCTCTTGGCTTCAGCCCGGCCCCGCTGCTCCCGGACTCTGTGTCCGCGAGGGTCTCTCGTTTGTGCTCGGATGTGATCCCGCGCCGTTCGCTCACTCTCTTTCTCACCCATCTGCGCCCATTGTGTTCACAACTGTGTCCTTTTCTTTCACTCCCCCTCCCCCCTAGTGTCTTCCAACCTGTCTGTTCCCCTCCTTTCCTCTCCCACCCCTCCACCCCGCCTCTGATCTCCGGGATATTTGGTTTCTTTCCCTTTCTCAATGTGTGTTCCTGATGTGGTCCTGTCGGAAAAGCTCGTTTACTCTGCTCGGGTCTCCAGTGGTTTAAGGATAATGTTTATCAGAAGTGAACGTGCTCAACTTGTTTCCATTCAACTGCTGAGTGTGGGCTGAAATACCAAAGGTCACATCTACAGTGAGTCGGTAGAGGGCAGGGGGAGCCGAGAGGAATATGAAAACATTGTAATATACAACAGCCTGTTGATCGCTTGTGACCCGCCTGGCAAAAAGATTAATTTTTTTCAGGTAGGAAATAATTGAAGAATTGAAGGGGAAAAGTGGCACTTAGCAGGGAGCGTGGGGACGAGAATGCTACAGCACGAGGGGGGGGGGGGTAGGGGGGGTGCGCCTGGCCGAGCAGGGGCTCACCTAATGGAGTAGGGGTGGCACCTTTGTAAAGCCCAGAGTCCCCAAAATGCGAAGCAGGGGAAAGGCGGGGACCTCAGATTCCAGTGGGCAGCCCCACTCCCATGCGTGGGAGCCTCAAGATGGTGGGAAGTGCTCCTAGAGCCCAGCGTGGGAGTCCGAGGGCAGCTCCTGGCTCTGAGGGCTTCCCCTGGCCTTTCCTCGGGCCGGGCCGGGGGGGAAACGACCGGACCTTCGGGGGCTGCCCAGAAACTCTTTCGGCGGGGGTAATGGGCTCCCGGCCTTTCTCACCTCGGAAGTAGCTAGTGAGGAGCAGAAGGATGCTCACGCAGCACACGCTCTGTGAGCGGAACCGCCAGAACCTTTTCGAGAGGTTGAGCCCGGCAGCCGCACCGCGGTAGGAGGCGCGGGAAGGTGCGGGGCTACCGCGGCGGAGCTCAGAGCCTCGCGGACGCGGTGCGACTGCCGCAGAGACTACCGCGGACTGCCCGAGCCCCGGCCCCGGCTATGCAGCGGGGAGAGTTCTGCTGGCACCGCTCTCACTTTCTGAGGGGCACTCAAGGAGAGGAATGGAGCGGCCTTTGTGTGCCGCGTCCATGTTAAGAATTTCTCGTCTGCAGATATCGCCTCTGTCGCTGCTGTGCACTGTCTTACAGTACGGCGCTGAATGCGACACACGTATCTCAGTGCTCAACTAACGTGGCTGTACGGGTGTGAGAACGGCCACCCAGGAGATATTCGGACATCGCGTCAATGAATAAAATGTTCACACATGCACAGGAATATCTGCAACAGCGCCGAATCGCCCAGGAAACAACAATTTTTCGTTCTGTTCTGTTCCCAAGTGCGCTTTAGGAGCAGTCGCGCAGTGCCAAGTGTGTGTGGTTTCAGTGTTAAGGAATTCATTTACATCGAGGACGAGTCAGAGAATGGGAGTTTAACGGGAGGGAATCTTGTTTAACATTTTTTTTTTTTCCGGCAGTTGCAGCAAATGCAACCTTCCTTTACAGCCTTACGAAGCAATGAGGGCAAACCGAAGTTGGTCCCCGGGTCACTGTGGCGGTGACGGAGCCCCGGATCTGAAGGGAAACTAGAGGTGACAGCAGTGAAAGCCCCCCCGTGACAGCGCCGCGAGAGCCGCGCTGCCAGGCTGGGACACGGCACCCTGCGAAACCCCTTCGGGGAGGGAGGGAGCGGGGGAGCACCGAGTCAACGCGTAGGGAACGGCCGAGGGGCTCTCTCCCGGCAGCATGGGGGAACAGACGACACAGATAGCCTCCGACCGACAGACACGGCTCCGCCTCAGTCCATGGCAGGTCCCCCTCGGTGAAGGCGGTGCGGGCCGCACCGCGCTGCAGCACACCGAGGGCACAGGGACAGGTGGAAAAAAAAAACCAAAAACCGCAGTGGTGCCGACCCGGCGAGTCGGGGCCTTTCCGCTGCCCCTATCGGGGGCTGCCCGACCCCTCCTCCAGCCGGCAGATCCCTCTTGGTCAGGGGTGCGTCCCCCCGGCCCCGACCCGGCCACCGCCCTGCTCCCGCTCTGTGCTTCTGTGTTGGGAGAGACGCTGGGGGAACCGGGGGGGGTGGGGGGGGGCTTAATGATGTGTGTGTAACTGGGGCAGGTTTAATAACTTTGCCGCCACTTGTTCTTAGCAGCCCCTCTGGAAACCAGACAGTGTCTCATTAGGGCTTTCCTGGTGCAAACATTTGACTCGAAGGAGCGGTGCGGAGTTAATTTCTCTTTGCGCTAGGATTTGTTTAATGACACAGAGGGAAACAGACAATCCTCGTGTACAAGGCCATAAAGCTACAGAGGGACAGATTTTAAAAGCATATTTTGTTCTAATCGAGCAATCGGGTTTTCATTTGTCACATGTAACATGAATTTTGAGTAAATGAAAAAAATGCCTCTATTGTTCTGCATCAAATTATAGGAACCAATTGGGAATTCCTGGGCAATTTTCTCCATCTCTCCTTCGCTTCCACAACACCTCGTACCAGTGCCACCTACAGGAACACTAGCGTTCTCGAGTTTGCTTCGGGTCGGAAAGGAGAAATACCGGCTTCCAACGCTGTTTTCCTTCGCAGCCTTTACGGAGCTTCTCACGTAGCACCGCTGTGCCCGTGTGTGCGGACACGCTGCCGCCCGTTGTGCCAGGCGGGTGGACGGGGATCGGGACGGGGAAGGAGGCCGCTGCCGGCGGAGCCTCTCACACCACACCGTCCGGAGGATGCAGAGGGTCGCGCAAAGTGACCGCAGCCTCCCGCCCCACCAGAGCCCGGCGCACCCCCAGGCAGCACGGGGGCTTTACTAGTGCAGTGTCCCCAATCAGTGCCCATCTATATGCTGGCTGCGTTTTACGAGAGCAGCTCCGAGCCAACTGCCACTCAGCCTCAGTCTCCAGCGCACCTTCGGGAGCTCTACCTTCTCCCGAGTATTTATAACGAATTCCTCAGAAATTCCTGGGGAAAAATAATTACCCCTCCCCTCGCGGCTTCAGCGGAGGAGGCCCCGGCTGGGAGCCGGGCTGCCC